TGAAAAAAAAATTAAGATTATACCACTACTTTTAGAAAATATGCTTCATCTGTAAATTAATATAAGTAATACAGCCACTAAATTCATATAAAACATGACTAGTTTTGCCCAGCCGGGCATGGCTCAGCAGTTGAGCGTCAACCTAGGATCCAGGCGATCGGGGTTCGATTCCTGGTCAGGGCACATGCCCGGGTTGTGGGCTCAATCCCCAATGACACTCTCATCATTGACGTTTCTGTATGTCTGTCTGTCTCTCTCCCTTCCTCTCTCTGAAATCAATAAAGATATATTAAAAAAAAAAAAGAGTTTAAAACAAACAAACAAAAAAACATGACTAGTTTTGAAAATGTATTTAACATAGTAAATTAGCACATTTTTCCTTTCATGTTTCTTAGTGCCTTTTTTCCTATGGGATATATATTTATATAATCATATGTTAATGGATTATTGGGCTGTGCCATGTGTCCAACTCACTTGTTGGTCTTATCTATCTAGTAGTATGTTGTACAGCAGTGAGTCAGAGAACCTCACATTCAAATGAATAGAAATGAAGGACAAGGTTTTCACTGAAATGTGGTTTATCCATTGTTTTGTCAGATATTCCAAATTTTACATAAATGTATACAGTAACATAACAATGTATTGCCTTAAAAATGCAACATGAGCCTGAACCTAAATTAATAATGTAACAAAAATCTAGAGGTGTAGGAGAAAGCATAAGACCAATTTCCTTATTTTGATAGACAAGAGAGAATCAGTATTTGTGTGTGATTTATACATGGAGTTCAAACAAATTACTCAGTCTTCATTATATTTTTTATTAACCATTGAGGGAATTTTAGGCTATGTCTTTTATATCAAAGAAACATTTATCTGAAACTTAGTTCTGTCAATTTTATTTCCATTTCCTATTTTCCCCCTGTTAAATCCAGGTGAAGCTAAATTTATCACACTTGTAAAAGCATTTAGTGTAAGACTCTTTTTAATAAGACTTTTTAAAATGGTAATTATTGTTGAGTATTACAGATGTCTCCCATTTCCCCCTCTTACCCCCTCCACCCATCTCCCACCCCTCCCCAGGCCCCCGCCTGTCCATTGTCTGTGTCCACTTATAAGTTCTTTGGTTAATCTCTTCCTGTCCTCCTTCCCACCTTCCCTTTGAGATATGTTAGTTTGTTCCATGCTTTCATGTCTGTGGTCCTATCTTGTTCCTTAGATTCCACATATGAGTGAGATCGTGTGATACTTGTCTTTCTCTGCCTGGCTTATTTCACTTAGCATAATACTTTCTAGGTCTATCCATGCTGTCCCAAAGGGTAAGAGATCTTTCTTTTTAACAGCTGAATAGAATTCCATGGTGTAAATGTTCCACAGCTTTTTTTTTTTTTTTAATTTATCTTTATTGACTTCAGAGAGAGAGAGAGAGAGAGGGAGAGAGAAACATTAACGATGAGTGAGTCATTGATCGGCTGCCTCCTGCATGCCCCCCACCAGGGATCGAGCCCAAAACCCAGGCATGTGCCATGACTCAGAATTGAACCTCGATCTCCTGGATCATAGGTCGATGCTCAACCACTGAGCCATGCCAACTGGGCTCCACAGTTTTTTTATCCACTTATCTACTGATGGGCACTTGGGCTGTTTCCAGATCTTAGCTATTGTAAATTGTGCTGCTGTGAACACAGGGTTGCATATATTCTTTCTGATTGGTGTGTCGGGATTCTTAGGATATATTCCTAGAAGTGGGACCACTGGGTCAGATGGCAGTTCCATTTTTAATTTTTTGAGGAAACTCCATACTGTTTTCCATCCTGGCTGCACCAGTCTGCGTTCCCACCAACAGTGCACTAGGATTCCCTTTTCTCCACACCCTCACCACCACTTGTTGTTTGTTGATGTGTTGATGGTAGCCATTCTGACAGGTGTGAAGTGATACCTCACTGTGGTTTTAATTTGCATCTCTTTGATGATTATAATTAACATCATTAAAATATCCATACTATCCAAAGCAATCTCTAAATTCAATACAATCCCTATCAAAATACCAACAGCATATTTCACAGAACTAGGAAAAATATTCCAAAAATTTATATGGTACAAAAAAAGACCCCGAATAGCCTCAGCAATCTTGAGAGAGAAGAACAGAGTTGGAGGAATCACTATACTGGATATCAAACTATACTACAAAGCCATTATAATCAAAACAGCCTGATACCTGGTACAACAGGCATGTAGATCGGTGGAACAGGACAGAGACCCCAGAAATTGACCCACACCATTATAGTCAATATTTGACAAGGGAGGCAAGAATATACAATGGGGTAAAGATAGTCTCTTCAATAAATGGTGTTGGGAAAATTGAACTGGTACATGCAAAAAGATGAAACTAGACCACCAACTTACGCCATTTATAAGAATAAATTTTAAATGGATAAAAGACTTAAATGATTTAAGTTGTGAAACCATAAAAATCCTAAAAGAAAACAGGCAGTAAAATTATAGACATCTCACTTAGTGGAATTTTCACCCATACATTTCCTAGGGCAAGAGAAACAAAGGACAAAATAAACAAATAGGACTACTTCAAACTTAAAAGCTTCTGCACAGCAAAAGAAAACATCCTCCAAATGCAAAGGGGCCCCATGGTATGGGAGAACATATTTGCCAAGGATACATCTGATAAGGGGCTAATTTCCAAAATATACAAAGAACTCATACAACTCAACAAGAGGAAGGCAAACAATCCAATTAAAAAATGGGCAAAGGACTTGAATAGACACTCCTCCAAAGAGGACATACAGATGGCCAGAGACATATGAGAAAAATGCTCAACATTGCTAATCATCAGAGAGATGCAAATTAATAAGACTTTTTAAAAAATATATATCTTTATTGATTTCAGAGAGAGAGGAAGGGAGAAGGGGGAGAGAGATAGAAACAATAATGATGAGAGAGTCGTCATTGATCAGCTGCCTCCTGCACACCCCTGACTGGGGATCAAGCCTGCAACCCAGGCATGTGCCCTGATCGGGAATCGAACCGTCATCTCCTGGATCCAGGGTTGATGCTCAACCACTGAGCCACACCTGGCCAGGCAATTAATAAGACTTAAAGTCTGTCCTTCTACTCATATGTTTGGGATGATAGTTACCTGATATTAAGGATGGATGTTTCAAATTGCTATGATTATTTTGCCTTTTCTTTTTCATACATCAGTATATTTCTTGACCTTTTCAACATAATGAGTATTTGTCCTTATAATTGAAAAAAATTTTAAATATGATTTCATTTACAGAATCTACTATGAGGTCTAATTCTAACATATTTCAACCAATAGAAACATTTTAATAGAAGAGTGGGTTCAAGGCATCATGGTGAAATTCTNCCAATAGAAACATTTTTTAGAAACATTTTAATAGAAGAGTGGGTTCAAGGCATCATGGTGAAATTCTGGGTACTTTATTTCAATTAAGTGACTGATATATATTGATAATAAAAAAGAAGTAGAAATGAGAAATCAAGTACAAGATTCTGTCTCTGAAAAACTGGCTATAGAAGTTTGGTGAATAGACAGTTACATGTAGTAGAGTTAAATATTTGAATTTCAAAAATTATTGATGACCTCCTCCATTGTTTTAAAATCAATGATCTCAGTATCATGAGAGTCATGTAGCTTCGGGCATGGGACTCTCACAGGAGCAGGCCCACAGGGACCTGAATGAGTGAACTGCAGGATGACACCAAGCAGTTAAGAAATGGAAAAAGAGGAAACCGCTGTTTCCCAGCAAGAGGAAAAGAAGAAAGTAATAAAACTAGTCTTAAATGTTATTTTTAGGGGTAAAAAAGGGAGATGCAGTTTTGAATGTAATCAAATGGAAGGGTGCTGAGGTATATATATATATATGTATATGTATATGTGTATATATATGTATATATATATATATTTAAAAAAAAAAAGTAGCACTTCACGAATTTGTGCGTCATCCTTGCGCAAGGGCCATGCTAATTTTCTCTGTATGGTTTCAATTTTAGTACATNGTGTATATATATATATTTTAAAAAAAAAGTAGCACTTCACGAATTTGTGCGTCATCCTTGCGCAAGGGCCATGCTAATTTTCTCTGTATGGTTTCAATTTTAGTACATGTGCTGCCAACGGGAGCATGGGTGGTGGGATATTTTGACAATCTACTGATCAGTTAAAAATGTGTGATTTCTGCCCTAGCCAGTTTTGCTCAGTGGTTAGAGCACTGGCCTGCAGGCTGAACGTCCCGGGTTCGATTCGGGACAAGGGCACTTACTTCGGTTGCAGGCTTGATTCCCTGTTGGGGCAAATGTAGAAGGCAACCATCGATGTGTCTCACATCAATGTTTCTCTTTCCATCTCTCTCCCTTCCACTCTCTCTGAAAAGCAATGGAAAAAATATCCTCAGGGTGAGGATTACAAAAAAGAAAATTGTGATTTCAGAAATGTGTAAACTGTTGCATGAAACACCAGAACTAGTATCCAACCTTTAGGGCATCACTCCATGACCCTGAATGCAATTTTATTTGATGAAGAAACAAAAAGTTCTCTATGTATCTTTCAGGGCTTATTTTATTTCATTCCCAAAATAGAGCATGAATCCTTCTCAATCTTGGAATTGAATGTTTAAATTTTAATATATGTATGTATTTTTAATTTTTATTGAACTTTTATTGAAATTATTAATGTTGGTTAATAATTATACAAGTTTCAAGCGTACAATTCTATCTACATCATCTATGTATTGCATTGTGCATTCACCACCCAAAGTCAAGTCTCCTTGCGCCACCATTTATGCCCCCTTTACCTTCTTCTGCCTCTCCCACCTCCCTTACCTCTGGCAACCATCATACTGTTGTCTATGGGATTCTCAACTCTCTTAATTATTTTTAAATGCTAATTTTGTTAATTCTTAAAGGAACTTTCAAATTGTCACTATTATGTCATCTATTAACTTTGTTTTAACATCTTCCAGAATTAATTGCTAATAAGACCTCTGTAGCCATGGCTAGTTCTGACGTGAAACCAAAATCAATAAGTCATGCCAAAAAATGGTCGGAAGAGATTGAAAATCTGTATAGATTTCAACAAGCAGGATATCGGGATGAAATTGAATATAAACAAGTGAAACAAGTTTCTGTGGTAAGTTTTATGCCTCTACAAACCTGAACTCAAAATGAGTTTGTTAGTTAGTGAAAGTATTAAAATAAAACAAAGAACCAGAGAATAAATGAAAGTGAGTTCTTCTCCAACTCTCTCATTTTACTGAAGAGGAGACTGAGGCCCAGAAGAGTGATTTTTAGGCAAACTGAGGAAAGAGGTGGTCCCTTAGCGTGAAATATTAAGACTTTTCTAGTTTTTAATGAAGAACGATGCTCTGCTAAGTGCCAGTTTCTTTTTAATTTTGACCATGAATTGCAAAGGTGTTATATCCTGTTACTATGGGGATTGTAGGTGACAAAAAACTATTAGAGAGCAACTCNTAAAGGTGTTATATCCTGTTATTATGCGGATTGTAGGTGACAAACAACTATTAGAGAGCAACTCCTGACTTTGGTTGTGCTTCCCAGGCTTCCTTGAGAGATTAGAGACATGACTTTGCTTTGCAAAGACTAGATTAAAATCTAGACACTGCACCAGTTTTAATGGCATTTTTTAAAAAATTNCTAGACACTGTACCAGTTTCTAATGGCATTTTTTAAAAAATTATTCTACTGGATACTAGGAGGCAGACTTTTTAAGAATACGATAGAATATGATATATAGTATTTATAAATATGTTTTAATGCTCAGATTTGGGGTTACAACAAAATGTTATTAACTTGGTTATTTATTTTTTAGTATCAATTCTCTGTTTTTTAGAGACTAATTCATATGTGGATTTATCAGGTCTCTCTATTCTCTTTTTCCTTCATTCTACTTTTTGATCTCTACTTAATACTTCATTTAAAAGGAGACAGGAAAAAGAATTGGAGGTATTTCAGAGCTAATATGTAATAGACCCTTTAATGGGCAGTACTTNTTAAAAGGAGATAGGAAAAAGAATTGGAGGTATTTCAGAGCTAATATGTAACAGACCCTTTAATGGGCAGTACTTTGACAGATATTAATAGGCCTGGTGAGGAATGAAGTTATAAACACTGATCAAATGACAATTTGATGAGTGTGATTTTCATATACAGTCATACCTCAGTGTCCCAGGGAATTGTTTTCATGACTCCCCTGGATACCAAAATTCATGGGTGCTCAGTCCCTTGTATAAAATGGCATAGTATTTGTACATGACCTATATTTTCAGATAGACTACAGCAGGGTATGCCCACACATAATTTCATTTGTGTGGATTCAGTATAGGGCTTGGCATAGGGCAAATTCAAGTCTTGCTTTTGGGAACTTTATGAGATTTTTTTTTCTAATATTTTCAATGAGCTGTTGGTTGAATCTGTAGATCCAAAACCCACAGATACAGAGGGCTGACTGTGTCAGTCTTTTTACATCTAGCATTTTCCTCTGTCTCCATTACCAAAAGATATTCTTCATTACTGTATCGTCTATGGCTTTTAAGCAGATAGAACAGAAGCATGAACATTTTAATGCTGTTCAAAAATAAGCTTCACACCTTGCCTTAAGGTTGGGATGCCCCTAAAAGGTATATAAGACCCAGGATGATACAGACGATGTGATCATATAGGCACAGCTGCACCTACACCCCCACACCCAATACTGTTGTAACTGAGGTAAAATCAGATTTAAGGGGACAGTAAGAACATCCTTAAAGTGGAAGTCCCCAAAAGCACCTGAGAAGGGTGAGGGTGAGGGTAAGGGTGTTTGTGTGTGTGTGTGCTATGCAGGAAAGAACAACCCTATTCACTGTATGACTTCACAATTATGGAGAGGTTTTACATTTCACTTCAGTAGTATATGTGTACTGGATACCTACTATGTGCAAATTTCTGTGCCAAGTGCTTTAGGAAATAAAAAATATAAGCACATGCCCACGTTCAAGAAATCTGGTGGGCCAGTAGGAAGAGTACAAGATTTACAGTCTGTCTGTCCAAGGGTTGCAACCTGGCTCTCCCCCTCACCAGGTGGGTAATTCCAAACAAGGTTCTTAACTTCCCTGAGCTCAACTGCCAAATGGCAGTGCTTCCATCAGAAAATTGTCACAGGAATGAAATGAAAGCATGTGTTTGACGTGCCCGACATTGCAGCTCTAAATGATAATTTGTTGAGTGAATGAACAAAAAGTGTTCAATAAAAGTTATTACTTTTATTATTCTTATATCTTGAAGAAGATTGAGAATGACAAGAACAATAAAACCTTATATAAGTAAAAATATATGCCTTAAAAGAAGCACAGGGATTCAGAGGAAGATAAATATTACTTCCTTTAGGGACCATCTTACGAAAAGGCTTCATGCCCAAGAGGCATTTGCAGTGGGCCTGAAAGGATGGATAGGGTGGTGACTGAAAGCTTGTCTTGAGTGGCATGTACTAGCCGTCTGAAGGGTNAGAGGCATTTGCAGTGGGCCTGAAAGGATGGTGACTGAAAGCTTGTCTTGAGTGGCATGTACTAGCCGTCTGAAGGGTGTGAGCAAAGTTCTTTGTCCTGATCTGAGGCATTCACCCTTATGGACAATGTTAATGCTACGGCTCTCCCTGCCTAAGGGGAGTTGGACTTGAGGACCATATCACTCCAGTCCATATACTCTCAGGAGTGAAGATTTCCTAGATTGAATGAGAATGATTATGTGAAAAGCTAAGAAGAAAAATTTATGAATAGTAAAGATGTTGAGTGCAGAACCAATGTAACTGTTCAGAGACCTTTGTGCCATAGAAAGTGGCTGTGGATGTTGTGTAGAAGCAGCAGTTGTACATACTATTTCTTCACTGTGTGAGATGATGTCCAAGACCCTAGTAAATGGCCCTGGCCAGTCTGCTCATTGGTTAGAGCATCAACCCACTCACTGAAAGGCCTCCAGTTCGAATTTGGTCAGGTGCATGTACCTCAGTTGTAGGCTCAATCCCCAGTCACATCGATGTTTCTCTCTCTCCCCCTTCCACTCTCTGAAAAGCAATGGAAAAAATATCCTTGTGTGAGGATTTTTAAAAAAGATCTTAGTAAATGAAAACAAACCAGCTATTGGCCCCAGGGAGAAGAGGGCTATAAATGGTGTACTGAGAACACTTTCCTTTCTCTACTGAGGGCAATGGAAGCTACAAAAGGCAGGCTTGACCTAAGTGATAGAATTTGTAACTTTTTTCTATACTACATATATCAGAGAGCCTGCTCAGGTTTATCAGGTATGCTGCCACCTATTTTTGCTACTTCCTAAATAAGTGAGAAAACAGAAGAAAATGAAAACATGCTGTTAGAAATAAATGATGTGTATTCCCTTGTATCCATATGCCCGTTGAAAATGATGATCTATAAGAGGGGACTGAGAAGTGAAGCTGCCGATGGTGTTGAAGGGCAGGATTTGGTTTTCTAGACCATAAAACCTGAATAACAGACTTTTGACAGTGAGGCTACATCTCACAAAATCCAGAAAAAACAAACATATCCAACAAACACAGAAATGTGCTGACCTGATTAAGAGGGCACAGGAAGAATCTGCAGAGGAATGGGAGGGAAATGTCCATTCTAGATCAGGCCAAACCATACAGTAAGCCAAGCAACACAACATATGGGAAAGAATAGTGGGGGGAGGCAAGAGAGACTTCTGAGGACTAGATTCATGACCTCCAATTTCTATTAAAAATTTACGTTCAAGGTAAACTTGAAATATAGGTGTGAGGAAATACGTATGGCCCTTTATATCAAGTCTAGCTGCTTTCTTTAGTCATCCCACGCCATCAACAGTCAGCTCTAGGTGCTTTCAGAATGGTGCCTGGGCTTAGCCCAAATTCCTCCTGGGGTATTACTTTTAGAAATTAGGAAGTAATAATGTTTGAAATCATATGAATAAAGTTTAGAGTGTTTTAAATGTTTTCTCTGTCTTGGCCACTAAATAGAAACTTAAACCTAGAAATTGGAACCTAGAGAGAAGCACAAAATTAGTAGTTTTGTCATAAAAGGATGCAACTTTAGATGTGTTTTGAGATGTGTGTAATGTTCTCTAAGAGCTCAAGTATTTTCAAACTTAATTTTATACTTTAACTTTTTGATGTGACTTACACTTTAAGTATTTGATAGTAAAATGTTATATAGAATAGAACCGTCATGGCAATGTTTGTATTCTGGTTTTTGATGTGTAGGTAGATCGTTGGCCAGAGACAGGATATGTGAAGAAACTTCAGAGAAGGGACAATACTTTCTATTACTACGACAAACAGAGGGAATGTGACGACAAGGAAGTCCACAAAGTGAAGGTTTATGCTTACTAGGCCTCTGTTCTTTGTGTTACTTGTCATTATCTTTTAAGATTTCATTGTTTCATTCTACATCATGTAAATGTTTATCATTTTACAAAATAATTCAAGATGCAGACCTGAATGTCCTGAAACACAGAAGCCATGAGACTTGGTATCTATTAATCATCCTATTCTGTTCTAAAATATAACTGCAGAAGCATTAAAGTTGTACCTGTCTTGGTTCTGTTCTTTTGATTATTTTAACTGTTGCAAAATAACCATCATGTATGGGGAAAAACAGCCCCATTGGAAACCATTCCACTGGTTAGGCTTGTCATGTATAGGTTGCTGGTGTACTCGCACATCCCTCAGCCTTTCCCACTTTACAAGACCATCACTTTGAACTGCCAGATATGCATTTTGCAGCCTGAGGGCTTTGTCTTGCCTCAGGAATCCTTTGCCTCTTGCTAAGTAGACCAAAACTGTCAAGGGGTGATGGTCCCTGGGAACAGACTTCAGCCAATGACTGATGGGGAGGAGATGGATAAACACCCAGTAACCTGGCACCTTGGGAGGAATCCATCTCAGGTGTATGTTTTACACTGGCACCCAGTTTCCCCAGCAGAACTAAGCCTCAGTCACCTGCAGCTCTATCTGACTTGGTAACATTGTTTATTGGTTGTCTCCCTTCCCTGCCACTTCCCCCATGCCTGCCAGGGGTTCTTACCCTCCTAAATTACCTCCTTATACTTAACATCTTATCCCAAGGTTGGTTTTTGGATTCCCCACATAGACAGTTTATGTTCCAGTGCTGCCCCAAATCACTGCAAAACAGCCTAAGTGATACTGAGTGAGGAAGGCAATAATTAACCTGTGAGACTTGAGAAATCTCCCTAATTATGTAGTGACTCTTGAGTGCTTCAAGATTAAATGGGTGAAAGCTGGCTTTCTTATTTAACTCTTCTTTTGCGGATAAGATTTTTTTGTTACAATTTACAAGTTATAACCTTTAAAGAGATTTTTGGAGAGGGAGCTCATATCCTTCAATTAATTCAACTTTGGCTCCCGAACTACAGCAGCATGAAGCTCCATTAGTTTTCCCAGTTCAAAATTTCCTTCCTTCAGGACTTTTTCTTTTCAAACAAACACACCATTGGAAAATAAATACATAAGTTGGCAGGCCTCTTTTATGCCTTCCACAGTGCTGCTTGGGATCATCTATCTCCAAAGACATCCACATCCTTATGCCAGGGACCTATGGATGTGGTACCTTACATGGAAAAACAAGCAGATGTAATTAAGTTAAAGAAATTGAGAGGAGGAAATTATCCTGGAATATCTGGGTGGGGCCAATGTAATCACTTGCATTGCTGAGGGAAACAGAAGCCTGAGGGATGCAAGGAAGGAGCCAAGTGTCAAAGAATGCATCGAGCCTCCAGAAACTGGAAAAGGCAAGAAAATAGACTTCCCCCTAGAGTCTCCAGAAGGAATGCCGCCCTGACAATTCCTTGGTTTTACCAAATAAGACATTTTTCAGACTTGGCCTCCAGGCTAAAAGAGAATAAAGTAGTGTTGTTTTACACGACTCAGTTTGTGGTAATTTGTTACAACAGCAATAGGAAACATACACTACACAGAACAGATGAAGCAAATAGCCTTCTACAGTTTTGGAATCAACATGAGCTTTAATCATGGTCTGCCATTTTTGACCATGGAACACAATTTGTTACAGATAAAATTCATTCCGAGGAAGGTGGCCAGGCAGTTTTTACCTGGTACATTCTCAGTAATTAGCTCAAATATTCTAAATATTTGAATATTTATCTTTATCCTTCTACAGCAAGACTCTCTTCAGACAAATGGCCCTTGAGACCATTGGATGCAATTTCGGCTCCTTGAGTTCGTGTGATTAATATTTTTTTAATGGATCTTATGGTGAACATAGCTGGTACTTTCATATCATGTCAATCTTTCTTACAAAATAAGCTACTTCTTGGGTCCCTTTGCTAGTGTTGAAAGGTGCATGGCCTGCTGAGAGAGGCATCTGCAACCTTGCCAGCTATTCTTGAGTAGAGTGTCTGTTCAGTGGTGGAACCAGGCCACAGGCCTGGGTCCATGCCAAGAGAACTTCCTAGGTCGCTTCCATATATAACACTGGCACAAAGATTCAAGAAGAGGTATTCTAACTATAGCACACAGTTGCCAGTTTCAGACTACAACTGAAGCAGCAATAGGGCCAGGATGTCAACCTTTGGTCTAACATCTGGCTATAATGGACACCACAGAAAACCCTCTCTTTCCCAGGGATCTGAAACTCACAAGATTGTTCCCATTAAACAGCACATGGTGGCATTGTCAAGAAGCTGGAATTGGACTTCTGGTCAAGATGGCAGAATAGGTCAACACTATGTTTGCCACCTCTCATGACCACATTAAAATTACAACTAAATTACGGAAAAACCATCAAGAACCACCTGAAGACTAGCTGAACAGAAGTCCTATAACTAAGGATATAAAGAAAAAGCCACATTGAAACTGGTAGGAGGAGTAGAGACACAGAAAGGGTAGGTAGGTCCCACACTCACGGTGTGGTGGTTAAGAAACAGGAGGGATATTTAGGCTGCAGAAGTCCCCCCATCCTGAGGAACAAGGGGGTTCCAGCCCCAAAACGAGCTTCTCAGCCCAGGACTCCAGTGCCAGGAAGAGGAGCCACCACATCTGGCTATGAAAACCAATGGGTTTTCAGCTGAGTGAGATGGAGAGCTGCTGGAGTCCTAGGTGCTAGAGGTACTAACGGGGCTGTGCACAGACTCACTCACAAACTCATTCACTCTGAGCTCCAGCATTGGGGCAGCAGCTTTTTCACATATAACTAACTCTGAAATGCATCACTGGCTAGCTGCTTTTCATTTCTCCAAATCAACAACTTCTTTTTTTAACCTCTTTAATGCCTGTGATCATTGTTTCTTTCACACCCTTAGCAACATTAGCACTCTTAATAGACTCTTTATGTTTTAAAATTGTACTAATCATTGAAATTGTGGGTCTGGAACAGATTAATTCAGTTTACATTATTTTTTTTTAACACTTTATTAAATGTGTTGGGGTGACAGTGGTTAATATGAACATATAAGTTTCAGGTGTGTGTTTCTATGTTACAAGATCTGTATATTGATCTGTGTGTGCCCACCACCCAAAGTCATATCTTATTCCTGTCAATTTACATTATTTCCAATAGGAAAAAATGATTTGGTTTTTGAACAATCACTTCTCAAACAGCCTTCCAGAACAAATTAAGTTCAAGAACCGAGGTTCCACTGTATAGGAAAGGAGAGACACAGAGAGGGAGGGACACATACACATACACACACACGTGTGTGTGTGTGTGTGTGTGTGTGTGTGTGTGTAGAGAGAGAGAGATTGGTTGCCTCTTGTATACGCCCCAATCGGGGATGGAACCCAAAACCTAGGTATGTGCCCTGACCGAGAATTAAACCCACAACCTTTCAGTGCATAGAATTACACTCCAACCAACTGAGTCACACCAGCCAGGGCGAAGTACTGATTGCTTAAAAGCTGGGGTCATGCCCTGGCTGGCATGATTCAGCTTCAGCCTGTGCACCGGAGGGTCACGGGTCCAATTCTGATAAAAGACACATACCTGGGTTGCAGGTCCGATCCCTACCCCAGTCGGGGCATGTGTGGGAGACAACCCACACATGTGTGTCTGTCATATCGATATTTCTCTTTCTCTCTCTTCTCTCTCCCCCTCCCACTCTCTCTAAAGAAAAAATAAGTCTGGGGTGATTTGCTGAACCTTCTAGAGATAGGAGTTGAGTAGGAGCTAGGAGAGATTGCAGTGGGGAGGGGGATCCTTCTAGGGACACAGAGAAGCAAAGTTAAAGAAAAAGAAAGCTGCAGACCAGAGAAAGTTGGCCTGTTAGAGCCATGATGTTCCAAGTTCTGGGAGTGGTGGAAACACCACCATCTTCTGTGCTCCAGTTTTTCTTATGAGTCAAAAGCATCTTATACTTTCTTTTTGTGCTGCAGCGTTGGGATCCAAGAGAAAGTGTGGTGGTAGAATTGAGCCCTTGGGGAGAAAGAGGAACCACAGATGCTATATAGCCTACCATTTTTCAACTTGAAAAGTCACAAAATTCAAAGAGTATTGTGCGGCAGGAAAGTAAGACGCTAAAGAAATTCCTGGGCAAGTGGGATGGGAAAACTGAGATAAGAAAATTAAACAAAATCAAAAAGTTTGAGCAGCTTGCAGCCAGCTTGTGAATTGCAAGACCTTATCATCCCGACCAAGGAACTTGAGAGCATATAGTGTATACCTCTCCTCCCTAACCAGAGAACACATAGCTTAAATCACCCTGGCCTGAGAAAATAGAAAACAAAGACTCAATACCATTTGTGTCAGCTAAACCCAAGGAAAGATGAAACCTGGGGTACAAATAACAAAAACTCCAAAACCACTTGGATGGTATCACTTGGGGGAGGGGGGTGGCAGAATAGATAACTGCTAGAGCAGGAAGATGAGAAGTGGGGAGAGAAAGGGAATTTATCTCACCCACTGAACAAAGAAGTCAGCAGTCTTGGGATTTGCCAAGATAATATCACCAGATGTTCTCATAAATTCTGGGAAAAGCCAGAACAATGAAAAAGGGAGACCTTGAAATCTAGTCTATCTGCAGGGGAACTTTGAAATCTATAGGGGGGAAAGTATAAAACTCTTGAACCCCCACCAGGCAGGGACCTCAGACTAGCTGATTTGCCCACTTGTGCTTTATGTCAAGTATATTCTTAATAAATTCACTTGTTCTGCTTCAACATTGCTTTCTGTCACTCATCTGAATTCTTTTTTGTGAGCGTGACAAGCTGAGGAAGAGAGAGCCAGCCCCCTTTGATTTGGGTGGCTCTCCAGTAACAGTTGGAACTAAACTTGCAGCCCAACACCCTCTCTTTTCATTCTTCCCATTCTCATCAGATCTCACACCAATCCTATGAGGCAGCTGAGTAAGTCCAGGACCACAGAGGTGTGTGGTTGGCCCAAGACTTCATAGAGGCTGAGATCCTAGATGTGGGTCAGACTCTTTATGCACTATGGTGTCTCCCTGTAACAAGAAGTCCACTAAGAAACAACTGCAGATGAACTTTTATAGAGGCCCTGCTCCTAAGTCTTTATGCTTCATGATGGCCACAGCTATTTCCTAGGATGTCAAATCCCCTAAGAATTATTAAAATAGCAAGAGCAACACATTATTAGCTGTCAATGTAACAAACTGATGCCCTTTTGGTCTATTGAACAATACACAAAATATTTCTCCTAAGCTGTTCACAGGCAGGAAGTATTTGAGTGTGGTAAAGTGATGCCTACAAGCTCCTTGGCCTGAATTCTCCACATTTGGAGGACATTGCATTTAGGTGGCCTCAACACTGTAAGTACTCTTCTTTACTCTTCATGTTTGGCAACAACTTTGGCCAAGAACAAGGCTGTCACACAGAGGCAGTGATGAAGTGCTGGCTCTGAGAGCATTTGCAATCATTTGCAATCATTCCAGTGTGCCCGCTTTGAGCTCTTCCCAAAATCATCAGCCTCTTAAGGAAAAGCAGCTCATAGAAAAGCTAAAGTATTAAAATCTCCCTATAAAGTTGCATTTGTAGATGACTTTTGAGACACTCAAACATCACACTCCTACAATAATTGTGTTTGCACATACGGCAACAAAGGGGCCTCTTTCTGAGGGGCCCACTTGGTCCCTCTTACTCTTACTTTCCTGGCCTCCCCACCAAGCCTCTATGGCAGCTTCTTTTTCTGCCTATTTTTTTTTTTTAATTTATCTTTATTGTTGGAAGTATTACAGGTATCCCATTTTTCCCCCCATTGACCCTCTCCACCTCACTCCCACCCCCTCCCTAGGCCTTCACCCCATTATTGTCTGTGTCCATGGGTTATGCATATATGCATATAAATTCTTTGGTTAATCTCTTCCCACCCCCCACTCCCCTTCCCTCTTCCCTCTGAGATATGACCGTCTGTGGCATGCTTCAGTGTCTCTGGGTCTATTTTCTTTGTCAGATTCTTTTGTTCATTAGCTTCTTCTTAAAGAAGACCCTTCAACATTTCCTGTCGTGCTGGTCTGGTGGTGATCAACTCCTTTAGCTTTTTCTTATCTGTGAAGCTCTTTATCTGACCTTCAATTCTAAATGATAGCTTTGATGAGTAGAGCAATCTTGATTGTAGGTTCTTGCTTTTCATCACTTTTAATATTTCTTGCCACTCCCTTCTGGCCTGCAAGGTTTCTGTTGGGAAATCAGCTGACTGTCGTATGGGTGCTCCCTTGTAGGTAACTAATTGCTTTTCTCTTGCTGCTTTTAAGATTCTCTCTTTGTCTTTAACCTTTGGCATTTTAATTATGATGCGTCTTGCTGTGGGCCTCTTTGGGTTCCTCTTGTTTGGGACTCTCTGTGCTTCCTGGATGTGTACGTCTATTTCCCCAGGTAGGGGAAGCTTTCTGTCATTATTTTTTCAAATAGGTTTTCAATTTCTTACTCTCTTTCTTCTACTTCTGGTATCCCCATAATGCGAATGTTGGGCCGTTTGAAGTTGTCCCAGAGACTCCTACACTATCTTCATATTTCTGGATTCTTTTTTCTTTTGCTCTTCTGGTTGGATGTTTTTTGTTTCCTTATATTCCAAATTGCTGAATTGATTCTCGGCATACTCTACCATACTGTCGATTCCCTGTAAATTATTCTTCATTTCAGTTCCTGTAGCCTTCATTTCTGATTCGTATTTTATTATGTCATTGATGATCTCACTAGTTTCCTTAGTAGTCTTATTAAGATCCTTGAGCATCCTTATAATCATTATTTTGAACTCTGTATCTGTTAGCTTGTTTGTCTCTATTTCATTTAGTTATTTTTCTGGAGATTTCTTCTGTTTTTTACTTTGTGACATGTTTCTTTGCCTCCACATTTTGGCCGCTTCCTGGTATTTATTGCTATGTATTAGGAAGAGCTGCTATGTCTCTTGGAACTTGTAGAGTGGCTTTGTGTAGTAGGTGTCCTGTAGGATCTAGTGGCTCAGCCTCCCCAGTCACCTGAGCTGGGCCTTCTAGGTGCTCCCCTGTGTGGGCTGTGTGCACTGTCCTGTTGTAGTTGAACCTTGGTTGCTATTGGCATCAGTGGGAGGAACTGGCCCCCAGGGCAATTGGCTGTGAAGACCAGCTGCAACTATGGCCAAAGAGCTGGTGTGCTGGAGACACCTCTATGGAGCAGGATTTACTTCAGGGGAGCTTTGGTGTTCACCAAGTGTACCCCTTGAATGTGTCACTCGTGGATGTGGTAGGGTTGTTAACCAGCGTGGTCAAGTCTGACCACCAGGTGCACTGTCTCTGGGGCCTTGTAGGAGGTACAAAGTCAGTGTCTGCCTGGGCCTTGCCCAGAGCCACCAGCATGAGCTACACAGCAAACTGTAGTTGGCTATTACTTGTGCTTGGCTTGGAGGTGTCCAGGAGAGGCCAAGCTATGAACCAATGCAGCTTGCCATTAGTGCCAGGACTAGGACCACTTATCAAGCCATATGGGACATGCTGCTGCTTGTTTAAAAGATTTTAGTAAAGTCCTAAGCATGAGGCTGAAGAGGCCACTTGCACAGAAAAGCCACTGGAGATGGCTTGGATGAGCTTGCAAGCAGGGAGGGGTGGGATCTCCAGGAATTACCAGGGTGGGACCTAAGTTGTGAGTCAAGTACTGGAGATTCAGAGAAGCCACCTGCTTGTGGGCTCTGCAGGGAGAGGGCTCATCAAAGGAGCAATGGCCTCTGCTAGCTCTTCTGCCTGGGAGAAAGCTGCCCCTCCACCTCTCACCCCAATTTCAGGCAGGTTAGTTCCTCTTCAAATGTCCTAGTTTCCTTTCAAGCTGCTGCCTGGTGCTGCTGCTCAGAGGAAGCACGTGTAAGTCTGTTCTGGCCCTTTAAGAGGAAAGCCTGGGACTCCCACAGCCTCAGCAACCATCAGTGACAGTCCCCACTGGATTTTACAGATTAAAGTTGTGGGGATGTCTCTACCTGGCCCTGGATCTCTGGGCTGGGGGGGCCTGTTGTGAGGCTTGGACCCCTCACTCCTCTGCAAAACCTCCACTGCTAACATATCCACCCTGGCTTTAAACCATGGCACCAGCTGTGGAACCGCAGCTGAGTATCTGTGATTCAGCCCTGATCCGCCCTTGTCTCCACCCCTCCTACCAGTCTGGTTGCTTCTTCAGTCCCCTGGTTGTAGGACTTCTGTTTAGGTGCATTTCAGAAGGTTCTGAGTAATGGTTGTTCTGTATTTTAGTTGTAATTTTGATGCGGTTGTGGGAGGCAGTGGGTACCGGGGTTACCTACGCGCCATCTTGTTGTCTGTCCCTGAACTGGTAGTGATTTTAAAGTGAACTTGTAAACCCAGGACTCGGCTGAAGCACTTATGTAGATGAGGAGAGGTGAAAGTGAGGTTCAGTTTACACACCAAAGTGGAGAAGAGATTCTGGTCCCTGACTCTCTAATCCAAAGCTTTCCAGATATGTTCTCCACTTCCTGCCACATAGTGGTCCCCTTGTGTACTGATGCTGAGAATATGGGAAAGGGGTTAAGTAGGGACACTGAGATCAAGGCTTCCCATAAACTGTTTAGATAAAACTATCCCCTAAACTGTGAAAAAGACAATTTCTGAATTAGCATTTTTATCATTTTAAATGTGCATTTTAAGTGTACTTACTAAATGTCATATAGAAATACTTGACTATTTCACCTACATCCCTAAAAGTTTATATATTCAAATTGTCAAAAACAAACCATAAAATCTTTTCAGGGGGCCCTTTCTTATTGAAAAAATTGGCACTCACTTTATAGTTGAACATATTCTCCTTATAACTAATAAAGACTTCCATTAAAATATACCTAATTCATTTTGGATGAATTAATTGATATAGATAATGTTAAATATATTTTAATTTTTCCCCAGAAATGAAAAAGTTGTGAACTGCTTATACTGAAAGCCTAATGCAATTTTTAGGCTGATTTGCTTTCCCTGGGCAGGAGATGGCTCCTCTCATTTTGCCAAATGGGGCGAAAAGATGAGTGATTTACTAGAATGTATGTTAACTTTCAACACCATCTAGGCAATTCATAAGGTCAGAGGACCACACACTTATCAGAATTTGAAGCATGGTAAAAATTTTCCATATTGGGAGGTAAATAATAATATTCATTCAAGGTTGCATTCTAATAACATAATTTTTGTATTTCTAAAGTAAGAAATTCTGTAACCATTATTTTGTTATTATTAGAGCTGTAAGTACTTTTAGGAAATGGCATTCTAACCTTGCATTTGTTTTCAATGTAATCCTTGATATGGTAAAATTGAATCTACCATCTTACAATTGTTTTCAATTAGTTCCATCTGTGATTTGTTCCATTTTCCCTGTTTTGTCCTTTCCTTTTCAATGAATGTACTATTAAAAAACATTTTTCTGTGTGCTTCCTTTATTGCCTTATTAGCCATGTTCTTTTGTTTTAGTGATTGCTCTAGAATTTACAATATACATCTTTAACTTATCACTGTCTATCTTCAAATAACATTATTCTTGGTTAAACTTATTCCTAAGCATTTTATTGTTTTTGATGCTATTGTAAATGGAATTGTTTTCTTAATATCTTTTTTGGATGTACATTGTTAGTCTATAGAAATGCAACTGATTTTTGTGTATTAATTTTGTATCCTGCAACTTTACTAAATTTGAAACTAGTAAGTTCTAATCATGTGTGTGTGTGTGTGTGTGTGAAGTCTTTTTAGGGTTTTCTCTATATAAAATCATGTTACCTGTGAATAAAGACTTTTTTTTAAATTTCTTTTATTTCTTTATCCTGCCTAATTGCTCTGGCTAGGACTCCAGTACTATATTCAATAGAAGTGGTGAGAGTAGTCTATTCTTGTCTTGTTCCTGATCTTAAAAGAAAATCTCTCAGCTTTTTAACGTTGAGTACAATGCTACTTGTGGCTTTGTCATATATGACCTTTATTATGTTGAAGTACATTTCTTCTGGGTATACCTAATTTGTTGAGAGCCTTTATCATGAAAGAAAGTCACATGCTTTTTATTCACCTACTGAGAAGATCATATGATTTTTAACCTTCATTCTGCTAATGTGATATATTAAATTTACTGATTTGTATGTGTGGAAATCTCATTGCAGCCCAGGGATAAATCCTCTTGGTCAGGTGAATGATCCTTTTAACATGCTGTTCTATTTCATGTAACATTTAAGAACCTTAAAACCGCATGCTTCTATTTCCCCTCCTGTCCTTTTGCTATTGTTGTCATACATTTTACTTCTACAGTACATTTTTATCATTTTTGCTTTGAATAGTTATAAATTTTAAATGTTTAAATGAGAAAAACAGCTTTTATATTTACCCATATTTTTATAATTTTTAGCATTTTCTTCCTGTATAGTCAGAGTTTCTATCTGGAATCATTTTCCTTCAGCCTGAAGGAAACATTTTTGTAGCACATGTCTGCTGGCAACAAATTTTCTCAGGAAACTGAAATTTTCTCTATTTTTGCCTTCACTCCTGAAAGCTATATAATCTGGATATAAAATTCTAGGTTGGCATTTTTTTTCTTTATAATTTTATAGATGACATAACATTGTTCTCTGACCTGTGTTGCTTTCTGTGAGAAGTCAGCAGTGTTTATTATCTTTATATGCAATTGTCTTCTTTTCTGAAGCTTAAGACTGCCTCTATATTACTTTTAAGAAAAAATTTATGATGTGACTTGTTGAGTTTTTTGGGATCAATTTCTTGGACTGTGCATACTAGTGGTCAGGCACTCAAGAAGACCAACCTCTGCTGTGCAAACAACAGTAATGGTTCCCATTTACAAAGTGGGTTGCATTTTCCAAAATACTTTCACACAGCTCTGCCTAGTGCTGGGACCTGGAAAAAATCCTCCTTTCCTTACCTCTTTAGTGTGGAAGTATAGAAAATAATGTTTCCATTTCCAAGTAAAACAGGCATGTGACACCAGCCCCTACACCCATCTTCATTCATAAGAAAGGTTGTTGTAGGGTTCCTTGTGGGTGTTTTTCTCAGTCTTTTTATATTCAGCTATAATTGTTATAGCTATTTCAGAAAAAGAATTTGAATACTTTCCTGCTTTTTCTAAGCTCTGGAGAGTTTATGTAGCATTGATATTATGTCTTGTGAATGTTTAGAAGAATTTCCCTAAACAGTCATCTAGGCCTAGTGCTTTTTTTTGCATGAATACATCAACAACCCCTTCTGTTTCGTCTATGAAAATCATCTGTTTAGATTTTCTATTTTTACTGGGGTCCATTTTGGTAAATTGTGTTTTTAAAAGATATACACATTACATTTAAATTTCCAAATTTATTGCATAGAGAATTGCCAAAAGTCTCCTTTGATTTTCAAGTTTCCTTGAGTTTAAGGTTTGCTTCCTCTTATTTTGTGTATTTTCACTGTCTGCTTTTTTTTCTTAATTAAACTGTTACAGTGGTTTGTTTATGTTGTTAACATTTTGTCAAAGACCTGTGATTTTGTTTAATAGTTTTGCTATTTTCCTGCTTCCTAGCACGTTAATTTATTTTTACATTTATTGTTCCTACATTCTACTTTTTCCATCTAATTTATTCTTTTGCTATATTTGTGAGTTAAGATATTGAATTCATTTATATTCCTTTTTGCCATAACTATGTAAACTATGAATTTTTCTCTGATCACTGCTTTTATTGCATCTCAGGGATTCTGACAGAGTAAATATTTAAAATTATTTATAAAATTTCAATGATTTCATTTTTGTATTTCCCTTTTGACCTAAGATTTAACAGAGAACTTTTTTAAAAATTAGTTACTGAGACTTTTAAAAATGTATTGTTTATATTTATGATTTTTAGTTGTATTGCTGTGTTTTCAGAGATTAGTATTTGTTTTATTTTTACTCTGTGGAACTTAGAGTGATTTTCTTTGTGCCTTTAAGAAATGATCACTTTTCATGAATGTTTCATGATTGCTAGAAAGAAAAGTGCATTCTCTATTTCAGAGGGCTAAGTTCAATATATCTCCATAAGACCTACCTTATTATGTTTACTTTTCCTGTCCGCTTGACAGCACTTGAATTGATAGCAGTATGTGAATTCTCCTAATAATTAATATTTCTCATGCTAAATTCTGAGATTTTTCTATGATAAATAGAAGATGATTTAATTCAATTTAAATTAAAACTAAAACCTCATTTTAAGCAGAGACAAATGATGTCATGTTATTAAAGATTTAAAAGGTAAGGCAATCCAAAGTCGGCTATAACCTGAAGGCATTTTATATCCCTGTAGTTCTAGGCTTACTGAATCAAAACAGAAATCTACATTACAAAGTGATAAACAAGTTTATCAGGATAAAATTAGCTATTTTCCCAGGGGACTGCTTTTTCTATAATACCAACACATTTAGCTAAGAAATAGCATGCATACAAGGCAGGATAACAGATTTACCTGTTTCTTTTATAGTTAGTGTTGTTGTATTCAATAAAAACAAAAAATTACTATTTTAACTTGACTATTATAGGTCAATTTTCCCAAGCATATGATGGGTCTTTCAAATTTGCATGGATTATAATTTCAAATAGTAGTTCTTTTTGAGTGTTTTATTTTGTTTAGCTTTCTTGAGAGTCTCCATTTATTCCTATGTTGGAACTTTTTCTGCCTTTTATGATTATTATATTCTTTTGGCATTTTTTTCACTCTTTCTTTGTTTTTCTTTCCTAGTTCTTTTATTCCTTTGTATCCTTTTAAATCTTTTGCATCTATTGTCTCATAGACAACTTTGTTTTAGCCATTTTGGAAATCATTTGTGTCTTTTTTTAATCCTCACCTGGTGTATCTTTTTTTAAAATTGATTTTTAGAGAGAGGAAGGAAGAGAGAGAGAGAAACATGGATGTGAGAGTGAAACATTGATCAGTTACCTCCTCCAGCACATGCCCTGACTAGGGATCGAACCCACAACCTCTTTGATGTATGGAAGGATGCTCCACCCAACTGACCTACCTGACCTGGCCAGGGCTCATTTTTGTCTTTTTATTAAATTTCATTTCAGTATCCTATTAGCTCTTTTTGCAATTGTTTGTCTATTTCTATTCAGAATTTTAAATTTGTGAGTTAGTGTTATTTCTATAATTTTTAAAAAATATATCTTTATTGATTTCAGAGAGAGGAAGGGAGAGAGAGAAAGAGATAGAAACATCAATGATGAGAGAGTCACTGATCAAGCCCACAACCCGGGCATGTGCCCTGACCAGGAACCGAACCCCGATCGCCTGGATCCTAAGTCGACGCTCAACCACTGAGCCAGGCCCAGCCGGGCTTATTTCTATAATTTCATGTTTGATTAATTCATGTTGGAGTGTTGCATTATTTCATTCTGCTTTGTGAGTTTTTTAAAAAGCATTTTCATAAACTGAAGAGGTTTAATTTATATTTTCTATATTCTAAATGTTATGTTTATTTGTGTTAATGAAGAAGTGCGCTGGACTTTCCTGATGAGCAATAACAGGTAGGACCGAGGTGTTTTGTTGCTTGCTGTTTCTTGGATCAGGAGTACCCTCATCTATTGCTATGATGAAGTGCAGTTTTTAAAAAATTAATGGCACCTTGTTTGTATGGTTGGAGATTCTACATTCTTGGGGCTCTTTGATGTTATCACATCTCTTATCTTCACTCCCCTTCTTTATTCTGCCACAGACCTCCGGAAGACATTTCCTCTTTTGAAGCTGGCTTTTCTCCCCTGGAAGCGCTGCCTTCCCAACACTACACCCCTCTGTTACTTTATGCTTCCCAGGCCTCTTCCTTTCTACTATCCAGTCACCAGTGCTCTAATACCAGGTCTCAAAAAAATCCATTCTTTGGATGAAGGCAGCCCTGTTATTATTGTATAAATGTATTTTTAGAAATTATTGGAAGTACTTTCATACAAAGTTTTCATCAACAGGCAATGGTTCCATATGGACAATTAAAGGCTGCTCCTTTAAACCAATTTTTCAATAGTTTGTATGTATAAGTGTGTAAAAAATAATACCTCAAACTTAACCGTGGCCACTGCTCCCCTTAAATAATAAAACATTACAACTGAATAACATTTAAGTCTCCATGTACTCCCTTCCCAGTTGTATTCACTCTCCCCTTTTAGCTTCCTCAAACACTTACCTAAATAAGATATAGCATTATTTGACATATTTCAAACTTTAAATAAATGTATCCTATTGTAAACATTCCTCTGAAACTTGCTGTTTTCCCCTAAATTTATTTTTTAAAATCTTAAAAAGTGATTTATTATGTGTATCTCTACTTCACTGATTTTTAACTATTGTATAGTATTCCATTGTGTGACCGTAACACAATTTATGTATGTATCCATCTCTTTATAGGCATTAAGGCCATTTTATTGTTTTTCTCTTATTAATAATGCTTCTCTGAGCAGTCCTATATATATATATCTTCTTGCATACCTGTGTGAGGAGGTCTGTATCCAGGAGCGGACTTTCTGGGCGGTAGTATGCGAATGTCTTCAACTACATGAAATATTCCCATTGTTCTCCAAAGGAACTGCAACGACTTACACTGCCAAAGAAGTGTATGAAAATTCTTATTGCTCCGTATCCTTGGCAATACTGTTATTGCTAAATTTTATGATTTTTTGCAAATCTGTGTATGAAATTACTGATTTTATTTTTCCAGTTTTATTCAGATATAAGTAATGTTTAACATTATGTAAGTTTAAGGTGAACAACATTATGATTGTATATATAAATATGTCAAAATGGCCCGGCCGGGCGTGGCTCAGCGGTTGAGCGTCGGCCTAGGATCCAGGCGATCGGGGTTTGATTCCCGGTCAGGGCACATGCCCGGGTTGAGGGCTCAATCAATGACTCTCTCATCATTGATGTTTCTACCTCTCTCTCTCCCTCACCTTTCCTCTCTCTGAAATTAATAAAGATATATTTTTTAAAAAAAGATTCAATAAATAAATAAATATATAAAAATGATTACTACAAAAAGTTAAATTAACACCCTTTACCTCACATAGTTACAATTTTTTTCCTATGATCTTTTAAGAGCTACATTTTTAGCAACTTTCAAATATACATTATAGCACTGTTAACTACAGTCACCATGCTGTACATTACAAACCCAGAACTTACTATAATAATCAATACGGTGTGGTATTGGCATAAACAGACACATAAACCAATGGAACAGAGTCAAGAGCTCAGAAATAAACCCATGCATATCTGGTCAGCTAATATCTGACAAGGGAGACAAGAATATTCAATGGAGAAAAGACAATGTTTTCAATAAATGGTGCTGGGAAAATGGGATATTCACATGCAAAAGAATCAAACTAGACCTCTCTTATACGCACAAAAATTAACTCAAAATGGATTAAAATCTTAAATGTAAGAACTGAAATCATGAAACTCCTGGGAGAAAAGAGGTAAAGCTCCTTGGCATTGGTCTTGGTGATGATTTTTTTACAGGACACCTGAAGCACAAGCAACAAAAGCAAAATAAATGAGTGGGACTACATTAAATTAAAAACTTCTAAACAAGTGAAACCATCAACAAAATGAAAAGGCAACCTACTGAATGGGAGAAATATTTGCAAACCACACATTTGATAAGGGGTTATATCCAAAATATATAAGGAACTTATACAACTAAATAATAAAACAAAACAAAAAACCCCCAAACTCCAATTAAAAATAGGCAAAGGACATTTTTCTAAAGAAGACATACAGATGGCCAATAGGTACATGAAAAGGTACTTAATATCACTAGATATCAGGGAAATGCAAATTAAAATCACAATGAGATATCATCTCATACCTGTTATAATGGCCATCATTAAAAAAAAAGAAGAAGAAGTGTTGATGAAGGTGTGAAAAAAGGAAATCTTTGTGCATTGTTGGTGGGATTGTAAATTGGTACAGTAAGTATGGAAAACAGTATGGAAGTTTCTTAAAACATTAAAACTATAACTACCATATATGATCCAGCAACCCCACTTCTGGGCATATATCCAAAGGAAACGAAATAGCAACCTCAAAGAGAGAGTTGCACTTCAGTGTTTAATGCAGCATTACTTACAAATAGCAAAGTTATGGAAACAACCTAAGTGTCCATCAACAGATAAATGAATAAAGAAAACTGAATATTATTCAACCATAAAAAGAAGACAATCCTACCATCTGTGACAACATGGATGGACCTAGAGAGCATTATGCTAAGTGAAATAAGTCAGAAACAAATACCATATGATCTCATTTATATGTGGAACCTAAAAATCAAACTCTAGTACCACTGAGTTTATTTTTTCAGTTTCATTTTCCCCAGATTACCAAGATAATATCAATTTAAACTTCAAATTTGCATAAATACAAGGCTTTTGTTTAAAAAATACATAAGGGCAGAATTTCCCCCCATTTAGAGCCAATGTAAACACAGAAAGTTATTGTCTTCCTTTGGCATTAGGAAGATTTTTTTTTATGTCTACTTTTCACTGAGAGTTTAGAGCTTAGAGGGCTTTATGTTGAGGGCTCCGTTCTAGGTCACCCTTGAAGCCTGATGTTTTATTTTCCTGACATAGGCAATGGGTGTCAGAGTAGCCATTCCATTAGTACATGCTCACTACTTTTACTGTGAGCTAAACTATTATATGGATGCTTCATCTAGTATTTCTAGGTATTTTGTAGTTAGAGACTATTTTTCACATAGTCTGCTGTATTTTATGCTACTGCTTTTTATCGGCAAGTTCTAAATCTTTTACACCTCTGGATATGGCCATTATTATTCATTATTTCCTTGAAATTATTCACATCATGTTAACAAAAGCTCCTTTACAAGATCACAGTATCCCTTTCACTGTCCCCAGGCATTCACTTGTGTTCCCCAACCTCCAGCGCCCTCCATAAGGCTTGCTGGGAGAGAAAGTCGATTTGAAGAACATTTTGCCAGTGACATCTGCCAGGTAGTTGATGAAAGTGTTTGTGTTCTGCTGCCAGTCCTCCAGGATAAACCATTTGCATTTTTTGGCCACAGGTATTTAAAATCTGTTTGAAAAGCCATTTCCTCAATCAGGAGTCCTTGGTAAATGTTCTTTGTGTCTTGTGAGATGTGTACCTTTCGTATTGGTTTCATTGCTTCATCACTGCTTGAAGGCGTGATTGATTAAATATGGTTATAGCTGTTATCAGACAAGAAAGTTAGACTAGAAGAAACTGCAATAGGGACCAGAAAGACGTAAATACCAAGTCATGTGATGAATTGTGCAAATTCTGGGCTCCTTCTGGCATCTTCTCTTTGGAAAATAGCCCCTGGATGTTGAATAATTATGACCACTCACAACTCTTACAATTGACCAGTTTGTACAGTAATTATACCTTTAGGCAAAAAATCAGAACTTGTAAAATCAAGATTATAAATAGTATGTGCTAGTTGTATAATTTTAAGGTTATAATGTGAAACCTGGGGTTTTGACTGCTTCTTGGTCAGTTTGACCTAGGACACATTCCTAAGGTTTTTGAATTAGTTTCCTTCTTTGTAAAGCTGGAATAATAGTGGTTTCTTCTTATGAGAATTAAATGAATAATGATCATAAATTATTTGGTATGTGGTAAGGACTCACTAAATTTTGGCTACCATATTATATAATATTTACAGATATGGTCAGGCAAAAAATAAAAAGTATCCATCATTCTAGAAAGTACTTTAAAATTCTGATTTGGTTTCATAGTATTTTACATATACGGTCCTGTTTTATATTTTTTCCTGACTTTCACTTAGTATTGCTGTGCAGGTCACATTGCTTCATGACCAGTTTTATCAATCTTCCTTTGTGGACAAACGGTTACTTTTATCTCTTTCTGTCAGCCAAAGAACATATACTCATAGCCCATGGACAAAGACAACATTGTGGTGATGCCAGAGGGAGGGGCGTAGGACCTGGAGCTGGGTAGAGGTGGGTAAGTGGGGGGTAATGGAGGACATCTGTAATGGTGTCAACAATAAATAAAAATTTAAATAACAAAGAAATGTCACCTAAAAAATTTTCAATGAACATTTTTTGTTGAAAATTTAGTATACATCTCATAAGTTTCTTAGGATAAATTTGCAGAATTTTGGTTAAATGATATGCCCATTGTTAAAGCTCTTGATGTATATTTCCAAATTATTTGCAATTTACACTTCATCAGCAGTGAACATCGGATTGAGATTCCCTTTTTCTCCCCTAAGGTATTTACCAACAAAATTTCTGGCAGTATTGTCTACAAAATCTATCTACCTAATGTCTACAGCAGTTCACAAACTTTTTGGGCCCAGTACTACTTTAATACTTTTAAGAAGCAGTGAGAACCTCAAAGAGCTTTTGCTTATGTGTGATATAATGTTAATATTTTACTATATTAGAAATTTAAACTAAGAAATTTTAAATATATTTAACTTATCTTAAAATAATATTAATAAACCCATTATGTGGTGACATAAATAATATATTTTTAAGTAAAAGACTGTACTCCCCTCCAAAAAAGTAGTGAGAGGCTTGGCATTGTTTTACACTTTTGCAAATCTGTTCAATGTCTGGCTGAATAGAAGGCAGTAGATTCTCATTTCTGCTTCTGCATTCAAACTGTTGCAATATCCCATGTCACATAGCCTGTGGGAAACTCAACTGTGCATCAAGAGAAAATGAGAGTAGAAAAGGCACATAACATTTTGGCAATATCGTGGAAATACTAGCTTTAACCTCATAGACCACCTGAAAAGTTCTCAGGAATTCCCAGGGGACCCCAGCCCATACTTTGAGAACTGCTCATAAATACTATCAAAGGTATGGTGATAGAGATCTGAAGGGAGAAAAAGAAATTTAAATAAATTTCAAGGCATTGTGGAAATAAGTAATAAATCTTAGACTGAATTTCTGTGATGTCTTAGAACACTTTTTATCCTGATATAAGTTGTTGAAAGTATACCTTCTATAAGTACATTTATTATTCAACTAACTTGTGCTTTTCCTTGCCTATGTCATAATCATTGCTATGTTTACGATCCTTGTCCTTATATACTTTCAATGGATTACCATGAGTTGTTGAACAGTTATTATCATATTTTTCTTTCCCAAATTCAGTATGTGGGCCTATATTGCTTTTATGATTGCACTACACCTAAAAGAAAAACATAAGCTAGAACCGATGCATTTCTTTGTGTCAAGTGCAACTCCTCCTCATGTAAGTAATTTCATTTTCCTTNTTGCACTACACCTAAAAGAAAAGCATAAGCTAGAACCGATTTCTTTGTGTCAAGTGCAACTCTTCCTCATGTAAGTAATTTGTGTCTTTGTGTCAAGTGCAACTCCTCCTCATGTAAGTAATTTCATTTTCCTTAGGGCGAGTGGTGAAAAGGGAAATGAGGGAGGAAATCATGACTTTATTTCCCTATATGGTGAATTCTGGTCCAGCATGGGGATGATGGTGGGGCCCTCTTAGCTCATGGAAAGACCCTCAAATCTATTCCAATACCATCTCCCCTTTTCTCTGAAATGCACTTTAACCGCTTCTTGGTCAGTACCTGCAATGTCCTTGGTGTCTCCAAGCTATTGTTGACCCAAAGTGCCTGTTCTTTCATGCTGGGTCAGGTAGGAACTTAACCAACTTTCAGCTAAGTAACTGGATCAGGGCCAGGAAGGAACGCTTGAAATCCCCGAAGGGGAAAGTGACCTCGACGTTTCGGAACCACCCTGGCTTTACAGTCAGTGCTGCTGTGCTGCTGCTTACCCTCCTGCCCTTTGCTCTCCCTCCCCATCCGAAGAAAGGCCCCGATTGCCGTGGTGGCGTCAGGACACTGGTTACTAGTGTAGAGGAACTTTCTTCTCCCTGCTTTTAAAAAGAAATAAGTCTGACCCGAAACCTGGAGATAAAGAGGTCCACTTCCGAACCCTGACTGAATGGCATTTCCCTTAGATCGGGAGCTTTCAGTTTATGAACAAGTATGTTATGTGAAATATTAACTTGTATTGTTAATGTTTCAAGTCAAAGGCCAGGCAGCGCATTCCTGAAGGTAAAGAACTGAGAGATGAACACATTCGGGCCCTCATTTTGGATTTTGGAGTCACTTCCATGGATATTATGAATGACAAGGAACTTTCTCAACAATACTTGCCCAGTCTGATGGCAGATGCACACATTGTTAGAGATTACATGTAAGTAGCTGAAATAAGTGATTTTTTTTAGAAATAATTATCTATAGAAAGATATAAGTCGGCAGTTCTCTGAGACTGCTTATGTAGGAAGACAACATTGTAAGAGTTTAATTTCATTTCCTCTGGGGCCACCTGTGACTTAGAATGGAGCGTGGCCACAGAAATTGTATCAATAAAAGATTAATAGAGCACATCTTTGTTTTAAATGTGTGTGTGTGTATGTGTGTGTGTTTCTACATACATGTTTTATCACATAACAAATATTTGTTGAATAAATTAGCACCAAGGCATCCTCTTCTTCTCAGAGGGTCGGCAGAAGCAGATCTCTACTTTCTGAGTTGTGTGGAGGTGAACCAGGGGAGGAAGGAGTGATTGGCTTTTTTGTGAATTCTGTCCCAGAACTCGTTTAACTCCATGGCATCTGATCATTGCTTAGTCTCATGAGATGTGTGTATTGGTGCTTGATTCTTCCGGTAGGCCTGGGTCCTAACATTCTGTAAAGCCTTCTCAGTAATCTAGACCTACCCATGGCTCTTCCTCATCTAACTCTCCCATAGCAGTGACTGTGGGGCCAGACTTTGGCCCTTAGTCACCATTAGATTCTGTCATGCATTTTTCCTGTTTTGTCTGGGTTTTGTCTCCTCCACGTACATTCCTAGAATGCAGGTGCTTATGCCTATGTTTCTTTTATTTTCTCCACAAAGGCTGCAAGTAGGCATAGGGTCACCCACGGCAGTGTTTGTGACAAGAAGTTTGCACAAATATCTACAAAAAGTGGAACCTACTTGAAGCACCTTGAGAAGAGAGACAATCCCACTCACTTACAACATGTCCCTCCGTGCACTGCCATGTCCAGTCTATCACTCAGTCCACCAGCTGGCCCCTTGTGACCAAGTCTCTTTGCCTCTTGCCATTTCTGTCCCAACCATCTTTGCCCAAGTGTGATTCTCACAGGGATAAGCTGTGTCACTGGCTTAGCAGAGTGTCAGAATCAAAACAAAACCCCAGTCTGACATCACCCCCCAAAATAGAAAAGTAATCAAGTCACTGCAGACACTCAATGAAATAATGTAGGCAAAAGCTGGTTTTAATTATTAAGCCTTGCACAATGGTTAAACATGCTGTTTGTAGACTCTGCCTCCCAGGATCAAAACCCTCAGCCCGTGGCTTACTAAGTGCGAGACTCAGAGCAAGTTTCTTTAACTGTTTGTGTCTCACCTGTCAGAGGAAGGGATCAGAAAAACTCCTCCAGGTGTTGTGGTGAGAACTAAATGAGGTCAGGCTGGCAACGTAACTAACCACCACAATTTTTAAAAACAAAACACAACCAAAAATTCACTACCACAGGATGTTGTTGTGGCTTTGTTAACATTTTAGTAGAGCCTCGGGGCATCGGTGGTGGGCCATGTTCAACAACAGCCCACCAGAGAAACTGAAATAGAGGTTTATTACTCCAGGTCTTGGAGGAGGCCCACGGCACACCTGGAGAGGCCACCAGGGAGGTCAGAGCAGGGTGTAGGCAGAGAGTGTAGGACTGGGGGCACACGCCTTTATTAGTGTCTGTTGATGGGGTGCTTTGGGGTTCCTGGGCCAAGGCCAGATTGGTCAATTCAAACCAAAAAAAGTGGGGTTTTGGTAAGCTTCGCAGGGGTCTTGTCTAAGAGACGCATGAGGAGAAGGCTCTGGGAGGCAGGAGAGACTGTTTATCACAAGGGCTCTTGGGGGAGTAATATCAGGGACTTACCCTCACTTGCAGTTCTGTAGCTGTCGTCTAGGAANAGGGCTGTTGGGGGAGTAATATCAGGGACTTACCCTCACTTGCAGTTCTGTAGCTGTCGTCTAGGAAGTGCACTCATGGGAGGGCCAGTGTCATTCAAGACCCCTGCATGCTGCTTAGCCTCACAGTGTGGATGCCAAGGTGACAACAGTTTACAGTGGCTTAGCCAAACTCTCAATAGCTCGCAGAAGAAACTTCTCCAACACCAAAATAAAAGATAAATCACTCACAGGGACATTGCACTATACAATAGAGAAAAACTTCTTAGTACTCTCTCTCTCTCCCCCATTGAACCCTAGAGAAATAGCTATCCATAACTATTTGCCCCTCTCTCTAAATTCCAAAAATTCTCTCCAAACCCTGCTCTCTAGATTCTTCTTCCCTCTTCACTCCTGCTCCTTTGATCTTCTCAGTGTGTTCTCTCTTCTGGTCTCTGCAGCTCTTAGCTGTTTCCAATATAAATAAAATAAAATCAGGCCTATAGAGCGTCTCGCAGTCCTCTGTTTCCATCACCACCAGGGCTCAGAGCCTGGTGGCCAAAATGGAAATCTGTGAGAGGTGGGAGCTGTGACAGCTCCCGACTCACTCAAGCTGTCTTCATCACCTGCCTGGATGTTTGTGTTCTCTCCTCGCCTCCTGGAACCCCAATTATATACATGCTAGGCTGTTGGATTTTGTCCCTTGGCTCTGGGATAATCTACATTTTTAAACTCTTTCTCTCTTGTATTTCAGTTTGGATAATTCCTGTTGATCATCTTCAGGTTCAGTGATTCTTTCCTCAGTATCCAGTTTGCTGATAATCCTGTCAAAGGAATTCCTCATTTGGTTGCTGTTTGTTCCTACAGTTTCCATTTAACTTTCTTATAGTTCTCACCTCTCTAATAAACTTACCCATTTGCTTATGCATGTTTTCCACCTTTTCCATGAAATCCTTTGACATCTCAAACAGGTATTTAAAGTCCCTGTCAGATAGTTCCAACAACCAGGTCTTATGGAGTCTGATTCTTTTGGTTGCTTTCCCTCTTGATAATGGATTTATTTCTTGCTTTCCCTCTTGACAATGGAGTTATTTCTGATCATTTTTGTTTACTGAAAGCCAGATATCATGCATAAAATAGAGACTACAGTACATATTTTTTACACCTGGACTTGAGCACATCTCATCTTCTGTCAGGCAATCAGTATAGGGAGTTGAGTTGATCTAGACTGGAGATGACCTGTGTTTGGCTTTTGTTGTTACTATTACTACTCAGGGCAATGCCAGCTTCCAAGTCCCCTAGTGTTACTATGTGCTCAGTGTGGAAACTGGGCTGCTGGAGTATTTTCCTCAATGTTTCAGTCTTTCCTGCGCCTCATAGAACAGTCTATCCCCACTGACAGACAGCTGTTACCTTATGTGTGGTGTCAGCCTCTGGGTTAAGATGGGGAGTTCTTGGATGTCCTAGAGTCTTGAGCTACCTGGGCCCTGTGAGTAGGACTCTCTCAGTGTGCCTGCCCCTTCTCCCTGTATTATGCATAAGTTCCTGCCCCTCCCCAGAAATAGAAATTTTGGTATAGATGTGGGCCTAAGACCATTTCCCACCCAAGGGTAGAGGATCAGTGCTTGCATTCCCTGAAGCCATGGGTCTTCACCTGTAGGGGAGTGAAAGTGTGTGATGCCCCTACTCCAGCAACTTAAGGCTTTTCCTTAATAGGAAAGAAGGGCCTGGGCAGGGACCAGGGTTTCATGCCCATTTTATGGCCACAACCAATTTCCTACTGCCCCACCCAGGGGGTTCTTTCTGGCCTCCTGCTTTGTTCCCAGTCTTTCTTGTGAACCCCTAGTGGAAGCCTGTGGAAAGAGCCTACAAGCAGTGTGGATTCCATCTGACAACACCCTCCCTCCCCCTGCCCTTGATCTCCAGCACTGTTAACATTTTAACTAATTTATTCTTCCTCAAATATCCAGCGGACACCCCTTCCTCCTGTGCTTTGTGCACATGAGTCAGTCTGCACACCCCATGTCTCCTTAGAGGTGCCTGACCCTCCTTGGAATTTGTTTTCTAGTTTGTCTTGCATACTCAGCTCTCCGATGAGTTCAAGAAGAGTTGTGATGATATAGTTTGTTGGGCTTTTTCTCATCATCAGGTTGAGTGTTGCACTCCTAGTTTTCTGCATTCTGGGAAAGTGTGGGAATTCTTTTTTTTTAAGAGTGGGAATTCTTGGTTCTTGAACAAGATGGCTGTGTAGGTAACCACAGTACCCGCTGCCTCCCACAACCACATCAAAATTATAACTAAAATACAGAACAAACATCACTCAGAACCTCCTGAAATCTAGCTGAACAGAAACCTTACAACCAGGGAACTGAAAAAGCATCGAGACCAGTAGGAGGGGTGGAGATGTGAGTGGATCCGTGCTGAATCATGGAGCCATGGCCGTGGTCCCACACTGGCTGCTGCGGTTTAAACCAGGGAGGGATATCTTGGCGGTGGAGGTTTCCCAGAGGAGTGAGGGGTCCCAGCCCCACATCGGGCCCCAACCCAGGGTTCCAGGGCTTGGAAGAGAAGTCCCACAACTTTGTGCTGTGAAAACCAGCAGGGACTGTCACTGAGGAATGCGGAGGGTGCAGGAGCCCCAGGCTTTCCTCTTAAAGGGCGGGCGCACAGACTCACTCAGATGCAACCCTCTGAGCCCCAGCACTGGTCAGCAGCTTGAAAGGAACCTGGGACATTTGAAGAGGAACTAACTTGCCTGAAATTGGGGCGAGAGCTGGAGGGGCAGCTTTTGTCCAGACAAAGGAGTTAGCAGAGGCCATTGCTTCTTTGACAAGCCCTCCCCACACAGAGCTGGCAGGCAGGCACCATATTTGAATCTTCAGCACCTGACTCACACCTTTGACTCCACCCTGGTGATTCCTGGAGATCCCACCCCTCCCTACTTGCAAGCTCATCTGAGCCATTTCCAGTGGCTTTTCTGTGCAAGTGGCCTCTCGAGCCTCATGCTTTGGACTTTCCTAAAACCTCTCAAACAAGCAGCAGTGTCCCCATATGGCTTGATAAGTGGCTCTAGTCCTGGCACTAGTGGCAGCCTGCATTGGTTTATAGCTGGCCTCTCCTGGGCACCTCCAAGCCCAGCACAAGTAGCATCCAACTATAGTTTGCTGTGTAGCTCATGCTGGTGGTCCTGGGCAAGGCACTGGCACAGGCTGACTTTCCCCTACCAGGAGGCCCCAGAGACAGTGCACCTGGTGGTCAGACTCGACACACTGGATTACAACCCTACCACATTCATGAGTGATACACTCAAGGGGTGCACTTGGTGAACACCAAAGCTCCACTAAAGTAAATCCTGCTCCATAGGGGTGTCTCCAGTACAGCAGCTCTTTGGCTATAGTTGCAGCTGGTCCTCACAGTCGATTGGCCTGGGGGTCAATTCCTCCCAGTGATGCCAATAGCAACCAAGGCTCAACTACAACAGGACACACAGGGGAGCACCTAGAAGGCCCAATTCACACAGGGGAGAACCTAGAAGGCCCAGCTCAGGTGACTGCGGAGGCTGAGCCATTGGACCCTACAGGACACCTATTATACAAAGCCACTCTACAAATTCCAGGAGACATAGCAGCTATACCTAATACGTAGAAACAAACACCTGGAAGCAGCCAAAATGTGGAGGCAAAGAAACATGTCACAAAGGAAAGAACAGAAGAAATCTCCAGAAAAAGAACTAAATGAAATAGAACCAAGCAAGCTACAATATACAAAGTTCAACCCAGCCAGGCTTGGCTCAGCAGTTGAGTGTCGACCTGGGATCCAGGCAATCGGGGTTCGATCCCCAGTCAGGGCACATGCCCGGGTTGTGAGCTCGATCAATGACTCTCTCATCATTGATGTTTCTGTCTCTCTCTCTCCCTGTCCTTTCCTCTCTCTGAAATCAATTAAGATACATTAAAAAAAAAAAAAGATACAAAGTTCAGAATTATGGTTATAAGGATGCTCAACGATCTTAGTAAGACTATTAAGAAAACAAGTGAGATCATCAATGACATAATAAAGTACAAATCAGAAACGAAGGCTCCAGGAACAGAAATGAAGAATAATTTACAGGAAATTAACAGTAGGGTAGAGGACCCTGAGAATCAATTCAGCAATTTGGAATNCACAGGGGAGCACCTAGAAGGCCCAATTCACACAGGGGAGAACCTAGAAGGCCCAGCTCAGGTGACTGCGGAGGCTGAGCCATTGGACCCTACAGGACACCTATTATACAAAGCCACTCTACAAATTCCAGGAGACATAGCAGCTATACCTAATACGTAGAAACAAACACCTGGAAGCAGCCAAAATGTGGAGGCAAAGAAACATGTCACAAAGGAAAGAACAGAAGAAATCTCCAGAAAAAGAACTAAATGAAATAGAACCAAGCAAGCTACAATATACAAAGTTCAACCCAGCCAGGCTTGGCTCAGCAGTTGAGTGTCGACCTGGGATCCAGGCAATCGGGGTTCGATCCCCAGTCAGGGCACATGCCCGGGTTGTGAGCTCGATCAATGACTCTCTCATCATTGACGTTTCTGTCTCTCTCTCTCCCTGTCCTTTCCTCTCTCTGAAATCAATTAAGATACATTAAAAAAAAAAAAAGATACAAAGTTCAGAATTATGGTTATAAGGATGCTCAACGATCTTAGTAAGACTATTAAGAAAACAAGTGAGATCATCAATGACATAATAAAGTACAAATCAGAAACGAAGGCTCCAGGAACAGAAATGAAGAATAATTTACAGGAAATTAACAGTAGGGTAGAGGACCCTGAGAATCAATTCAGCAATTTGGAATATGAGGAAACAAAAAACATCCAACCAGAAGAGCAAAAGAAAAAAGAATCCAGAAATATGAAGATAGTGTAGGGAGTCTCTGGGACAAGTTCCAATGGCCCAACATTTGCATTATGGGGATATCAGAAGGAGAAGAAAGAGAGTAAGAAATTGAAAACCTATTTGAAAAAATAATGACAGAAAACTTCCCCTACCTGGGGAAATAGACGTACACATCCAGGAAGCTCAGAGAGTTCCAAAGAAGAGGAACTCAAAGAGGCCCACACCAAGACGCATCATAGTTAAAATGCCAAAGGTTAAAGACAAAGAGAGGATCTTAAAAGCAGAAAGAGGAAAGCAATTAGTTACCTGCAAGGGAGCACTCATACGACTGTCAGCTGATTTCTCAACAGAAACCTTGCAGGCCAGAAGGGAGTGGCAAGAAATATTAAAAGTGATGAAAAGCAAGAACCTACAATCAAGATTGCTCTATCCAGTCAAGCTATCATTTAGAATTGAAGATCAGATAAAAAGCTTCTCAGACAATGAAAAACTAAAGGAGTTCATCACCACCAGACCAGTACTACATGAAATGTTGAAGGGTCTTCTTTAAGAAGAAGCTAATGAACAAAAGAATCTGACAAAGAAAATAGACCCAGAGACACTGAAGCATGCAACAGACAGTCATATTTCAGAGGGAAGAGGGAAGAAGGAAGGGGGGTGGAGGGTGGAAAGAGATTAACCAAAGAAGTTATATGCATATACGCATAACCCATGGACACAGATAATAACAGGGTGAAGGATGGGGGATGGGGTG